CCTTCTTCATGTTGCCCCTTTATGTTGAAAATAGTGTCATATAAATATTAGGCTTTGTTTTCCTTTAAAATGGCTTTTCTCATTTTGAGAATGATGAGGGCAATGAATGTACAAATGTGCTTTACACAATTGATGTATGTATGGGTTGTGATAAGAGTTGTATTAGCCCTAATAAACAATTTTTAAACAAACAAGTAAAATGGCTTTTCTCTCTTTATTTGTGCCTCAGCCAAAGGGTAGCTAGAGCTTACTTGTCCAATTTGCGTTTTCAGGCTGTGGCTGTGGAAGGGAAATAAAGTAAACCTCTTACAGGGTCACTGAGTTGAAACAACTTGATGGCAGTGAGTTTGATTTTTAGTGGTAGATATTTTATTATATGAATTGTTCCTACAGTTCTTACAGCAGCAAACTCACAGTGAAAGTGTGGTTGGATTTTATTTTCCTTTTATGTGTTTTCAGCCATGTGTTCAAAGTATTATTGAAAATCCAAACTTGGTTGCTTTGAAAATATTTGCCCTTTACATTCCTTGCTTTCTCTTCTGCAGTTAAATTGAATTGTTGAAATCTGGTGTGTGACTAACTATATCAGGCTGCTTTACAATGATTTCATCCTCCAAAATGTTGATAGTCAGCAGGCACTTGGGTTCTCTTGTTTTGTTGTACCAGTCTCTGGCTTGTTTCTTCAATGACTGGTAACCAGATGTTTATATGTAAATGTCAGGGATAACTCAGCTCAGAACATTCTTTGGAAGCCCTTTTATTTAATGTGTCATAGTAGCTGAGTTGTTAAAACTTGATGTACTTGTTGAGCAGCTTTGGGTTATAAAAATGCTTTCAAATAGTGGAGTGACTTAAGTTCGATCTGAATTGTTGATGGGATTAATAAATGTTGGACTAGAATATTAAAATACTTTAAACCTGAGATTTTATATGTTAAATCAGTTTTTCTTTTTAAGTAACATTAAATGGTGACTAAGGAGAAGGAAATTATTTTGGAATAACCTTTTACTCTAGTCACATTTAAAAGATTGGTAAGTTTGAATATACTGCTATTTGTTTATGTTTATAGCATAACATATTTTAAGCCCTTAAATTCGATACCAGAGAATAATTTTGAAAGGCTACTTCAATGTTTACCTTATTTATTGTGCTATTTCCTCCATTTCTATAGTAGGTTCTAGGTTA